TGCCCATTCACAACTTTTTCCTGACCCCAGTGCAGTCAATGGGAGTTTTGCCAATTAATATCAATAGGAGGAGAATCTGGGTTAGATTGAGGTTTCCTGCTTCTGCCCACAGCAACACAGATGCATTCCAGACCACTCTCAGGAAGAAAAGGAAAAAAAAAAAAAAGGGCAAATTCCCAGTTACTGTGGCAACAGAGGGATGTCTCTTTGCTATCATGCAATTTTGAAATTCAGTAGCTGTTTTGTGCCATGACATGTGTTTCTCTCCTCTGTCAAATTAATGTTTTCTTCCCATGTGGAGGGCCCGTCAGGGAAAGAGCACAGAAGAAAACCATCAACACAAACAGCCCCCAGAAGCCTTTTCACATTTCCCACCTCACATCTGCCATAATGGCAAAATCATGTTTGCAAACAAGGAAAAACTGCCTTAAACATGTACTTCCCAAAACACAGAGAATGAATTCAGCCTGCTCTCTGAATGCCCCTCAATGCATGTGAGAGACAACTGGCAATAAACTGCCTCAGAACAATGCCAGGACCTCTGCTATGGAGAGCATCAGCTAAAGGCTGCACAGACTGTTCAACTCTGGCTGCGTTTATCTTCCTTTCTTACATTTTCCTACACCAAGGTCCTCACTGTTGTAGTCCTTGGGCTTGTTGACCATTACATTAAGGGCTGTAAACACCCAATGAGACTTAGGGCAAGGTTTGACAGCTTCAGGAAAGCAGTAGCAAATATAAAATATGACTGATAATGCCCTAAGGACTGGCACAGGCAGTCAAACCAAATGGGGATGCAAGTGAATTTTTCTTCCCTTCCACCTTGTGTTCCCTGTTTTACAGGAGGCAGTTCCCATGCTGACAAGCAGGCAGCCCTCTCTACAGAGCAAGACAACAGCAAAACCTGCCTCTGCAGCCAAGGACAGAGAAGAGACTGGAAACATATGTTCTCTGCATTTGGGATGATTCAGTTGAGGTAGACTACCCAGGTCAGAGCCCAGATGGTATAAACTGCTGAATCTCAGCGTTTACATTAGCTGAGAATCTAGTTTAAAAGTATATTTTAATTAAACTCCTGAACTCTTCTGATATTCTTTATAAAAAACCCCAAACCTCCAAACAACCTCCAAGGGGAAACTGAGGACGCAAAAACTGATGTGACTTCTCTAAAGTAATGCTGTGAGTCACCGTCAGAGTTCAGGCAGGAGCCCACATCTCCTGAGCATCAGTACAATACAACTGATGCAAAGGCAATACTGAGCTAAAACAACAGCTTAAGGAGGTCTGAACTGCCCTGTGCAATTAAGGAAACTGTTAGGTGAAAGTCTCAGGGCTGATACCTTAAAAGTCAATGTTATTAATTAATTAATCACTGAACAAAGCATGCTGGAAAGGGGGAGTAACACTGTTCTGTGGACTTCAGGAAGTTGTACTAGAGACAGAAGGCAGTGAGCTTTGAAGAGCACTTGAGAGAAAAGCACACTGAAGCCACATATGAGGCAACTGAGCTCTTTCAGCAAGAGCTAAACACGGGAAGACAAGGAAGACATTGGAGCCTCAGTGATGCAAGCTCAGCACTGCCAGTAGGTGGGATTCAAATGCCTTGGGGGCACTCAAGCCAAAGGGATTCCTGAGGGCATTTACAACTGTGCCATCTGTGCCTTATAGTGGAGCTTATTTTGTAGATGGTTTTTGGAAGAGAATTAATACCATCTTTCTCCCTCAGTTTAACCCTACTGTGGTGATTGACTGCTGGCATGAATGCCAAAACATTCAACACAGTAGATAATACCGCCCCCCCCAAACCCCAAACAAAACACCCTGTCACTTACTCATGGTACCTTTTCTGCGGTATTATCTTAAGCTGAAGCCATTAAGGAAAGGGTCTCTACTTCTCGGTTTGATTTTGTTACACAGTGTTCATTCAACCCATTTTCTAGCAGATCTATCAAGCCCCAAGAGCAGTACAGCTGCAATGTGAGTCAGCTTCAGGAGAGCAGACAGGCCTTGTCAGAGATGGTTAGTAAACTAGTCTTCAGCACCTGAGTGGGTTGAGGTGGTTTTGCAGAAGGTATGTTCGTAGGCAGTAGGATAAGCAAGATGTGGAATCACATGGGTAGGTACAGCAAGTATACCAGGAGTTTCTTCCCGAGCTAAGCGAATGAAGTGAGTACGACATCTTAGTAGAGGATGTCTGCAAGCTATCTGGCTTTCAAAACACGTTGTCATTTGTCATGTGAATAAAGATCGAAATTCAGAAATATCAAGAAATACAATAGAGCTTAAACAATATGGTACCTGCAATTGTGCAAAGTAAATACAACAGCCTACTGCAAAATAAAAATGAATGCGATTTATGAAATACAAAAGGCCAGAATGTAAGCCTCACAACTCTCCTGGGCGGGGGCATTCATCCAGGTATTCTTATTGGCTTCGGCGAGGGGGTAGGTGTTGCTCTTTACCGTCTGTACCCAGAGGCTATTTGCTTCCCCACCAGAGGATGGCAGCACAGAGACCCTTTCCTTCCAGAGTCCGAGGGGCCTGTGGTGGGAAGGCCAAGGTACAGCACTGGATAGTACACGAAAGCTAGAAGAAGGGTTAATTTGGCATTCACAGATGCAGACCACAGGTGCTAAGAATACTGCTGTCAACATCCTGCTCTAGATGGGGCACAGATGTAATAAACCTCATGGAGTGACTTGTTTGCTCGGTCTCTGGTAGTCTCTTGTGCAGAGACTGCTGTTAGCATGACCGTCCCCAGTACGTGGCCAAAATCAGTCCACAGCCTTCCTTCATATCCTGAGCAATTCGTCTCAACAGAGGTGTAATTATACTGTTTAGCACTAGGCACTGCAGACACTTGTTCCCAAGCCTGGTCTGTCATGTAACAAAAACAGATAATGAGACCCAAAGCCACAGTGTCACACAGAATGATATGCTGTGTACTAGGGACTAGTCAGCAACCACTGCCCTTAGACACTTGGAACCAAGGGCATCGAAGAAACTGTATTCATTAATAGTTTGGAAAAGAAATGGGTAACAAGTTACTTTGCTAACAGTATGTAAATCCATCATTAACAGCCAGCTGTGAGAGACCCTAGACAACTTGTCAGAATGCAAGAGGACTAATTTTATAAACCATGTTTTACAAAACTCACTTTATTAAACTGAACAGGAAGAATTGAAAGCAAGCTGAAGATATGTTATCTTTCAGCTCTCTAACACCACCACCCATAAAAGGAGCTTGTTAGCTCAAATGTGGATTGACCCCACCCCACAGCACATGTAATGAATCTGCATCTGACATATTCCACAACCCTTTTACCAAAGCAGCATTATTTTTGTTAATTAAAAAGGAAAAACTTCAGATCCGCTGGTAACCAAGGCAAGTCTCATCACACTACCTTACCACTATGGCTACACTTTTCTTTAGCAGGCATGTCTCTAAGACGAAACATGATAAACATGACCCAATTCCCACTGAAATCAAGGGAAAGTCTCCCGGTGACTTCAGTGGAGTTGTGTGCAAGCCAGTCCTTGGCCTCCCCGCTCAGATATCATCTAACAACCAGAGCCCACTGCGGCAGTGTTTTTTTGTTTTTTTTTTTAATAGAGAATTCTGTCTACAAATATATTAATTTAGATCACCAGACATCACCTTCCATGTATTGTATGCCACAGAACAGCAAATTTTGGCCATGAATAATAAATTCATTTCTTAGCGATTACTGAGGTTAAACTGTGAAAGTAAGCTATATTCCCTTTGAAGACACCAGGATAAAAATCAAAGTAACCTGATTTGGGGAAAGTCTGAGCAAGTCACCCCAGTGACTTCTTCAAGTCCAGATACCGAAGTATCATGGGTGTAACCTGATATTAATGACCCCACATTTTTTTTCTAAAAGAACTTAAATGTTCTGGCAGCAACAGGGAGTCATGCTTACTCCCCAAAAGATCATAAGCAGATACAAATCTTGCTTTACTCTGTAGACACAACTTTCCCATGTCTAATCTTCCTAATACTAGAATATATTTTTCTGATTGGATCATCCTATGGATTTTGCTTGTTTGGTGGGAAGGGTCATCTCTAGGGAAATGTTTCATGTCTTCTCTTCCAAAATCAAACTAGGAAAATGCACATTTCTGTAATGAAAGCTAAGAGTAGAGCCATTGTCCATTGACTGTGTAACTGTCTAAAGGTTCCAATTCTGACATTTCCCAAGTGCACAACATGCAATGATAACTGCCAGGTGTTTCTGAAGTGTTCCACAGCCTGTATTGGTAAAAGAGGAGGTGGAAGTAGAAGATTCAATGAAGGTAATGAAATATAGTGAATTGCTGCTTTCTCCAAGCCCTTTCTTCTTCAGGATTTCTAATAAGAAGAGATAGTTGGTGAATCCACACTTTGCACAAACATCTTCTCAACTCCAGAACAGAAGAATAAGAGGTAGTTCCCTTACAAGAAATGTCTGAGACCTTAATTCCAGTTTGGCAAAAGCAAACACAATTCCACTGATTTCAGTGGAGTTACAGATGGCCCACTTAATGTGCAACAGGGTCAATCCGTCCCTTCTCCCATAGTGTAGCACTGCTCTGCTTAAAAACCTTTGCTTTCAAAGTAATTAGCCATGTGTAAACAGCCTGCAACACTGAACTGCAATTAAATAAATGAATAGGAGACAGATGTATATTTTAAAACTTATCTCAGTAGTGGGCTTTAACAACAAGTATTGATCTTTTTTCTGTTTATTATCAGGATCTTATGTCAGTATCACAGACAAGGAACTGAGGATCTGCAGAACAGTATCAATTATTTTACACATATTTCTCCCTCCCACAGTTTCCTACAGGCATTAAGCTGGAATCATGTATAAGCACAGTGAGAGTCTCAGGAAGAACTCATTCTTCCTTATAAGCCATCTCAGCACTACAGCAGGTGGGCACAGGCTCTCTTGCTAAAAACAGAGGGAGAGAGAGAGAAAGAGAAGAAAATTGCTTACTGTTTCGAGGCTTCTCCTCATCCATGCCTTCATCTTCATTTTCTGGGTCAATATCTTCTGCTTGAGTTATCCAGTCTAAGTATCCCTTCAAATCCTCCTCTAGCTGTTGTTTTTCCCGTAACTTCTGGAAATCACCCCGAGCCTTAGCCTTCTCTCTTTCTTTGGAAAACTCCCTAGCAAGAGGGAGGGAGGGACAGGACATGGGCGGAGGGAAGGAAGAGATTGAAAAACAATGGGTTAGACTGATTTCCACTAGAAAGTCTCCACATCCTGTGTAGCACACCCAGCTTACTCTATCCTTTCAAGACAGACACATGAATGGAGATTCCTTGCTAGATACACATGTAAAACAGCTGGAGCGTCCACATTTTTACCAATGCTTAGGAAAAGATTAATACCTTTTTTTACTCCTTTCATTCCCAACATTTGATTGACAATTCAAATAAAACGCATATATAACATTTATGTACAATACCATATACTTTCTAATACACTTTATCACTTGCTATTCTCCAGCAGTTATCCATAAATATCTATATGAGTTAATGGTTAATTTAATTCAATGATGAACTGTTTGACAATAATCTGATATCTGGAGAGTGAGATGGTGGCTCTAATTTTTAGCCAGGTTTCAATCTGTCTTTAAGATTATATGCGTAATCACAACTAAATTGGGCTAATTGTAAGTGTAATTAATGGTACTCACAATTCTGTACACATTTAATTATTGACAATTTCATCCACAGTACTGGACAATATATTTAAAACCCCAGACCTCAATATTTTACTGCAGACTTTCAGTATTTAGGGCTGTTATCTGACATGAAACTTTTTCAAATCTCAAGTTGGGTCAACAACTATGATAAATTATGGGTAGACAAAACTAATAGATTCTGCCAGAAAGTGCGCTAGGGTAGACATCTGACAGTTTTATGAAAGACTACTATTGAGAATATAGGTTTAAAACAGAGGGCATAGGAATAAGAATTTCATGTTGCTTAGCTATGAACTTGGGTACTTGCTTTGCCTTCTTTTTGGCTGTGGTGCTCTTCCTTCCTCTCTTTCAGAGACACCTATAAGGCATTGTTTTGTTTCTAGAAATGCTGACCTAACTCTGTTTAAACTCTGTCCTGTGGTTCTAAACCAGATTTTAATGCTTGTATTTTAAAAAGTAAGCTTAATGATTGTGAAAAGTGCTAGAGCAAGAGTACTTAAGCATTAAGTCTTGTATCTGCTGAAGCAGATCATTACATAAGGCACACACAGCAGATAACATGGTCCTTTGTTTCTAGAAATGAGAGGTAAAGTAATTTTCTCCAATGCATTACCCATTATGCTTGCTGATGACTGTTAGCAATGAGTGGATTTTAAAAAAAACCTCCACCTAATATTTGTCTTAGTTTGCTCCTGCAAAAACAAATAGGAAACCTACCACTAACTTTGGTGGGATAATATTAGGATTATGAAAATCCTACCCAAGATGTTAGTGAGTGTACCATGTGAAGTGTCCTCAAGCAACTGAGATGGAGGTGAGTTTCTAAGTGATGGCGAAATACTTCCTTCCTGTCTGGTCCAAAACCCACTGAAAGATTTCCATTGACTTCACAGGCTTTGGATCAGGCTTTCAATATTATGAGCTGTGCATGAAACCAGCACTGCAGCAGAATGAAAGTAGGATGATGCTTTAATTTCAAGCCAAAGTATGTGACAAAGTATGCCTGTGTGATCTTCACCCCTGTTACATTGCTGAGGGTTCAGCCCATCCCATGGGAGTGTGATAATGAAGGTGGAAATGAGGAAGAGAATCAGTGACTTCTCAGGCCTGAAGGTAGATCACAGTCAGCCCTGGGACCAAACTTAGCCACAAGGCAGAAACAGCTATTGCAAGCATGGCAAGAATGAAAAGTCAAATTTTCTCATGCTGGGAGCAATATTTTGCTATTTTAAATGTAAAACAAACAAACAAACAAACCCCCAACAACAACAATAAAAACTATACAAAGAATTTTAGAAAAATTCAATCAATAGCAGTTATATTTCCTGCTTCAATAACATCTTTCCTGTGGTCTGACATAGTGCCTTACCCAAATTAATTAACTCTTAAAAAAAAACAAACAACAAAAAAAAACCTGAAGCTATGTATTATTGAACCTGTTTGATAAATCAAATCCCAATATTTCAATTGTTGGCTCCTAAACTGGTATTTTAGAATCCAGAACAAATGGGTCCAATTTTGAAAGGGACCAAGCCCTCAACTCCAAGTAAGAACTATTTATATGTGCATGGATATAACTTGCAAGGGGCTGTTTTAGAAACCAAAGTGGAAAACATCATGAAACAGCCCAGTTTACAGAAAGTGAAATTCCTACTGTGTACTGAAGTGGATCATTTATGGTAGATGCACGTAAGCTGAATGCCTACTTGGGTCTTGTCAGTCCCCACTTACTGTCTCTCTCAAATAAGACTCAGGCTGGGGGCAGAACTGACTAAACCAACGTGAGATTTTAACATGATATCTTTACACTGACTGTCTGTATAGGACTGAATTTGTTACCTAGCTTTTTAATGGCACAACTGAAAATACCGTGATTGCCTAGTCTAAATGATCTGCAATTGCATGTCGCTTTCCTTTGTACAATGTATGATACTCCACATCTCAGATGACTCTCTAAAGAAGACAACTTATTTAAATTATCTTGATTTCTACTAACATTAAATCATTAAGAACAGGTGGCTCAGGAAATTGCTAATGCAGTTCACGATCAAGAATTACTATCAATGGTCATTTACCATCCCATGTGAAATGAGTTGGTGACCTTAGACCAGTTCCTCTTGCAAGCAGGTGTGCACATTACCTCTGCCACCATCACAGCTGGCAATAAATGGTCATTGTTTGCAGTTTCAGCAGAGAGGTTAAGGACCAAATAAACTTTCTGATGGAAGTTCCATCGTGAGTTTGGAGGTGGCCTTCTCAAAAAAGATTGCACTATCATGCCAGGATAAGGTCAACAAAGGCTTGCAGAACCACCAAGCAGTCTGTCTCTTTTCAGTGAACAAGAGAACATCAGTTTAAGAGTCAGTGAATCTGGTTGTTTTTACCCAAATTCAGTTTGCTTCACTTTCCTTTACTTCTCCTAGACAATTATAAGATACATCTGCCAATGGGAATACAAAAAAGCAGAGTATTCTGGAGAGATGTTTTCTCTGTGTGAGGTTAGAATGGGTCAAGATCATAAATATAAACACCCAGCTCTGTATCCTGTGCTGTTCCAGAAGAAAATTTCTCTTGCCCATGCTGATGATGGAATATAGGTAATTCTTTTGTATATCAGATCTCAGTATGATTTCTCACATTTAGAGGAGTGATGGGAAGTGAGCAAAACAGCAGAATTCCAGCAGTTCAAAGCTCTTGCTTACTACTAAAAGTGCAGCACAAGGCTTCAAACCCTGAGAAGTACACGAAGGAATGGGAAGGGTTGGAAGAGGGGACAGAAGACTAGGAAAAAGTCCTGAAAAGTCACAAAAACTGCTCCAGGAGGAGCTACAACCACAGCCAGCCTCCCATTCGCTCTGACCTCTTCTATGGCAGTAACAGCATCAAAAGCAGCCAACTAGGTTTTCCAGGATCCTCTCAAAGCAGAAGAAATGGCTGTTCTCCTGCCCTCCATTTGCCCTAGGCAACTGCTTGTTTGGTCTGTGTTCTGGGATTTGGATCACTGCTAGGTAAAATATAAAAGAAATGTGAATCTATATGCTTAGGCGTGCAGGTCTAAAAGTTGAACCAACTTGACCATTTTTTTCCTCACTAACTGACTGAAACAGATAACACAGATGTGAACATCTCTGATCTCAAGACACCTTTAAGAGGGGCTTCACTGCTCACAGCAATCGTGGAATCCTTTTGCTTAGGCTTGAGGAGGTCTACTGTGTGATCTGCTGACTAGATATTTCCTTTGGAATACATGAATTTTATATTGTGCTCAGTCAAGACAGGAGGAGGATTATAGCTCTACACATGAACACTCTGTCATACTATTTAGCTTAGCATGTGACTAGTAAATTCACCAGAAGGACCATGAATGGATGACATACCTGAGGAGAAACAAATTACAAATGAGCTCTTTAGGCAGAGCAGAACTCAGCATTTGATTTTGCAGGTGCAATCAAGGTGTCTTTGTGAGTACAATTAATTACACTTATACATTCAGAAGTGATTAAAAAACCTAAGCTAATCTGTCATTGACAAAGTCTACCTGCATGACATGCTTGGTGAAGTTCCTTAAATAGATAAATGGGAAGAAAGGTGCCCAGAATGGATATACGAAGATGCCCAGGAATGCTGCTTTGAATCTACATAGAACAGCCAGGTGGATCATCTACATAGATCGGACTAATAGCAATAGCAAGTGTCTAAAAAAAAAAAAAGCTGAATCTGCAAAGTGAAGACACTTTGCAACTCTGCAGAATTTAGAACTGCTTTAGGAAGTTAATTGTTTAAGACCTGCTTATTTAGCCCCCACCAAAATTTGGAACATTTCTCCCATAATTTCTGTGTTTTTTCATGGATGCAAATTCTTGAGTTTCTTTTTACTTTTCTCCAGTTGGGAAAAATTTTGCAGAAACAGCGCAGCTGTCATAACACTGTGAACACAGCCAGAAAGAGTGACTCACAGCTTAAACAAGGTGAACTTCATCTTTGATTTCAGTTCTCTCTACAGACTGTTTCCATCTCTTACCACTAACTGTGGTGGTCTAGCTGCAGTATGTCAGGAGATGGAAGATCTAGGCCCCAAAACACTTTCTTGAGTTGAAAAATGAAAGAGAGAGAAAATTCAATTTTTAATTATGTACAGGCACAAATCCAAGTGTAGGTAAATTGAATCAGCAGTGCTTCAACGGTATGCACTCCTCAGGGCTGGGCTCACAGGCACTGTTTATCCAATCAGATACTATACAATCTTTAACCACTGTCCTATATCATCCTTGAGTGCACTTCTGATACAACAGATTACTTTCTCTCTGTCAGCTGCTCATCATCCTCCACTACTGCTGACATTCTTACGTGCTGACTAGAGTATCCACCTGGAGAAACAAGGAGCTTACATTTTAAAATTGTACCCAGAGTATCACTCTCCAGATATCCAAACACAGACTATTACCTGACACTTCATTACCAGGGATTTTTTCCCACTCCCATTACTGCTTGGAAACCCTTCTCCTTGCAGCAGCTGTCTTAGCAGCATGTCCTCCTCAATGGAGTAATGAAGACAGTAGTAATACCTCCTGTAGATCTGCTATTACCTGTCTCTTTGCAGGATGGCCAATGATGGATCTTCTTCTCTGGTCCTACTACTGCCCTTCCTATGTTGTTGGCCCAAGTACCGAGGACATAATTTCTGTGAGGCATCAAGTCCTCTCTCCTGCTCAGAGATCATTTTCCCCCTCTTATGATCAAAAGACAGGGGACTTCAGAGCTGCCCACTCAGGCAACAGGTACAGGCTCTGACCAAATTCATTTAGAACTCATTAAAGGAGGCAGGATGTTAGAAACAAAGAAAAAGAGGATGCATAAAAGTCCTCATACCATATTTATCCATGTACATAGAATGGCTGTAGGCACCCAGTCATGCCCAAATACAGAATTAGAAGCCTAATTCTACGGGATCTTTTTTTAAAAATCTTGCGAGGAATGTTTGCTGTCTTGATTCCTCTAATTATGTGGCTCCCCAGGGGCAGTAAATCTTTTAACTACTGGGGACAATATCAATTGTTTTTAATCAAAGCTACTAAAATGATGCTTTGCAGTGAGGTTTATACTGCAGAACTGAAATATAGCTAGATGTCTTAGGAATGCTTAAACACTAAAAGGAATTCTCCCACTTCTCTGTTCATCCTTAGAAAAGGTCAGAGGGAAATGATCTTTTCTCCCTGCATCATGCTAGGCTTGTAATCTGCACAATAGAGAAGATGTGCCCAAGACACTCTCCAGGGAAAATAGTCTTCCATTAGGCTGTGCTTTAGAGATACTAAGCAATGTGAAAATTTCTCATGTGAGAAGACACAATTTGGCAAGAATTTCATCCCACAAATGTGAAGGGATTTGTCTCATGCTCTCATTCCTCCTTCAGTCCCACTGACTCTTCCAGAAATTTAACTATAATCCCCTTCTTCTATGGTGAATGGTATGCTTCGCCCACAGGGGAGCATAGCATTGTCCTCTTCCCACAGAGTACAGGTAGAGGTTTTAGGTAGAGGAACATGTAATAGGAAAGAGTTGTCTTGTATTCCTTTGGTTTAGTCAAAAGACTCCTTCCATGCCATTAGGAAAGCCATATTTTGCTATTGGCACAGCAATAGCCTAGGCCTTCTATTAAGGTTCTTGAGATCAACCCACCACTGCCCATTGTTTTGGTAACAAGAGAGTAGGAATAGAAATACAAATTTTTAAAAATAAACAATAATAAAACATTTTCCTGGTACTGCTTACCCGCTAAGTACACCGAGAACCAAGTTAAGTACAAAAAATGACCCTATGATGATTAGTGTAACAAAATAGATCCAGGGCCAGTCCCTTCCTATGGCATCATTGACCTGGAAGAGTGGAATGATAATTAGTGAGACAAGCTCAGATTCTGAGCACTGCAAGGCTCCAGCCAAAGAGATCCCAAGTCACCAGCAGTAAGATTTTCAATAGCCAGTTTTCTGGAAATTTATGACAGGTTGACATTAGAGATTTTGAATGCCCTGAGGTTGAATTTCTTTGTCAGAGAATAACACCTCTTTCGTTACCTGTACTGTTACTTGAAATGTTTGAACATTTTGTCAAAATATTTGAGAGCTGATGTGAAGTTTCCTTGGATTCAGATTTTTAATCCCTCTGAAAGAGTCCTGGTGACAGGGAAGAACCCTTATTATGGAGTCTTGCCCTGTAGCATTGGAAAAAGGACACCAAAACTGTCAGCTTACCCGCTCAACACACCAAGAACCAGATTTAGAACGAAAAAGGATCCAAAGATGACCAGACTGACAAAATACACCCATGGTAACTCATAGCCCATAGCGTCCTGCATCTGGAAAGACGAAGGAAAGTTAGAAGACAGAGAGGGAAAGCAGAAATGATTAGGCAAAGGAACAGATGGAAAGGTTTGTAAACAGAGCCTGTGGTTGGTTTACACATAATCATAGCAAGTGTTTCTGTATGTTCTTTCTGATATGGCTGCTCCTTTGCTTTTTTATTCTAGCTGTTTCCTTACAGGCAGTGGTTAATATAGGCTGAGATACAACCATGTGCCATATTGGCACTTCTTTGGATGGTCAAAGCTGTGGACTGTCACTTTCTGGAGTTAGAGCACCACAAGGGTCCATCCGATGACTTCTAAATGTCTAACCACTGCACATACATATGACTCTTTGCTGTCAGTGAAAATATTGCTAGTTTTTGCTAAGCATTACCACAGTGTGTTGTCAGATCACGTTTACTTCCCATGTAGCACAGGTACACGTACCTCAGAGAGAAGCATGTGGTAACTGTGAGCAAATACTGATCTTTCCCTGGCAATGCTCTGGTAATCTTCACAGTATACCACAATGAGGGCAGTAGCTGTTTTTGAGGAAGGTCCTTCCAAGGCCCACCATGTTCTGACCTGGTCAAGTGTTTTCTAAAGCTTTCTCACAAAATTCCTTTCTCTCCTTGAAGGATGAATCTCTTCAAAATGTGATTCTTACACAACTGAATACTCAGAGAATTTGAGACTGTAACTGAATGACATGAGCATAGAGGTCTAGCTTTCACACTACTACAAGCATCTGGAAATGAAGCAGGCAGACTATTGTTTTAGCACCAGAACCTGTAATTATGTGTAGAGCAACTCTAGAACATCATAAGATATTGTATATATTCTAAAAGCATCTGGTACATAAACACTATTTTATCTTGAAGTCTCCTTCAAAGTTCAAAATTTTGGAAAGTTGCTGGATACCTTAATAGAATCTCACTTTCATGATGGTATCAAAAATATCAGAGTCTCCTCTTCTTTACTTTTCGTAAACACTTATCACCTGAGCCAGACATAGCATCATTAAAGAAACAGATGGTGGTTAACACTTTCAGGAGCACTAAAATGATTTATGAATGTAAATTGCAGACTTGAAAGTACCTAAAGGCATAAAACAGCCTAGGTTCCTTTGTTTTTCATGCTTTTGAAAATTTTATTGTATGTTGTCCTCTCCTTCCAGGAAAACGCTCTCTTCTTTGCAACCTAAGCATTTGTTATGATCACAGAAGAAATATGCTTCCATACATGGGCACTGAGACACACTTCAGGGGAGGCAATCTGACTCAAGATTCATAACAACTCAGGAAAGGAATTTCAGACCTTCAGTAAGACAAGGCAGGAGAGTAACACTATTAAAATCAGTTCTTTGTGGATGGAAGTCCATTATCCATTTTTCTTTCAAAGTACAGTCACTAAAGCCCTTGTCTGGCAATAGTCCACAGTCAACAGGCCGATCCAGAACTCTACCACAGGTCTCCTTCAGCTGTGACTGAAGTAGACTCATTAAAAAATAAGCTCAAAATCTGCCTCTGTGAAAACAGTTCATCAGCTCCTTCCTCATAGGATTAATACATTTGGTGGTCAGAAGAGAGTACCTGAACATTTAACATTCCCTAAGCGTATTAACCAGCTTCCCTTTTAATACTTTTGTAGAATTGCTCAGTTAGTTTATAAATAATACTAATTATTCTTTATGTTTGCAAGCCACATTTCATCCCACATGACCAAAAAGTAGACACCTCTGGTGTAAAATACATCAGTGCTTTAAAGAGAACAAAACATCATAGTATATAAAGATGGAAGCAAATATTCACCTGAAATCACAGTGGAGAAATCAAGCAGGCAAAATGTAACTGCCCAAGCTGGAATTCAGTAAAGAAATGAGACTTAACATCCTCTCTCTTCTCCAAAGAATGCCACTATCTATATAAAGCAATCCACACAAAAAATGACTACGGATAACTTTGAAAAACTGCTGTAAGAATTTACCAGTGCAGGAACAGTGATGACTCGACTTCCCTCTAATTAAGATAGATGGTGATTAAAAAAGCCTCAGCTGTATGGTATTTATCTCTCAACAGGGTTTCTTTGTCAGCTGGGAAAGTAGAACTTCTCAAAGCTGTCGTACAAGTGAATCCTAAATAACAAATGCCAGGTACAGGATTCAGGTGCATGTCTGGCTGTCTTTTGTACTGCTCTAGCACAAAGAAATTTCCAGATGGCAAGCAGCTTCCATCGTGGCCTGGTAAAGCATATAACTAGAGTATAGCGTACTCTGGCTATTCCCAATGCCTGCACAGTTACGCAATGATTGTACCAGCTAGCATCGACGTATAATAGACCTGCATTCTGGTACAGCAGGGAATTTGGGACTTCTCAGACTGAACGTCTAGGAGGTTAGCTTTTCATCTCCTTCTTATTGCCCAGTCCTGCATGTAACAGAGAAGCTGAAAGGCAGAGACAGTGATAGCTTCTCAAGTGTAGAGAAACCATCAGTATTTGGCAGACAGCTGAGTCTGTGTCCCTGTTGCTGGACTTCCTAGGTTTGGTGCTCTCAGGTCTCATCTTCTTTAGTAGAAGTCAAGATTATTCCACGCATTGTGGCACTGAGCCACAGGTGACAGGAACGTATGTTATGTGTTGATAGAACATTAGGTATTTGATAAATTATGTTAAAAACCCCTTTGATAAGGAAACAGTACACTGTGAGCTTACTATTTGCTCTTGAAAAACATCTGCAGGAGAAATGCAGAGATATAGGCTGTTTGGCAGAAGTTAGGGGAAAAAAAAAAAGAAATAGACTTACTCAAAACAGTAACAGCAATGTATCAACATTTAAGAAACATTAAATTCTTGGCTAAGATTGTATCCTTCCAAATATCTGGAAATGCTTCCTCCAAAACAAAAGTATCCTAAAGTCCAGGATGGACTGTCCTAACTGAACAATGCTCCCATACAGATAATATTAAAAACCTTGCACTTGTGTTTGAGTGAAACTGCTTCCTGAAGACTTACCATCATTCTGTGAACATGTAGCTATTAATCATGTGTGTATGCATACGTGTCCTATTGACTGCAGCTGGAGGCTTTCACAGCAAGCATAACTTAGGTGGTAGAGCTGATTTTTCCTAATTATGGTGTTGAAATGGAGAAGCTGCAGAGGGTCATAACAAGATCAGAAGTGTTACCATTTGCACACTACTGAGGACAGAAAATGAGGTCTGCAATAGGTTACCTCTCTAGGATGGACAGTACAACTCCTGATACACAGTTCAGCTCTCTGGTCACTGAGTGCAGTACTTCTCCCTGAGTGTTTACTATTAACCATATGAATCTCAACAGAAAGGTGGATCATCTTCCAAATTTACAGTTCTGAACAAAGACTATCAGCCAGTGTAGGTCTGAATTATAATATACAAGCTACAGTAGTCAAGGTGATTGCAACCTGATATCAACTTAAGCATGTATGGGACAATTGTTAGGTCAGCTGGAAGCACAGCATTGGTAGGAATCTGCAGATGGTCATTTATAGAAATAATTCCGCTTTCTGCGTCAAACTGCCTGACCTTTCACAGCTCACATCTCACTACTCTCAACAGTGAGAAAGTTGGTATGTTTCTGAACATTAATGCATCATCTCTCATAGACCTCAGGGTTAAGGATCGTAGATTCCTTCTCATGATTTGCTACATACCCTCTCTGGCACTGTGGGGACATCATTTTGGCTTGTTATGCTTCAGCTTTCCAATCTGCAAAGTGGGATACTACCTTGACTTATTGGGTACTGCCAAAGAAACCACTGAGCGTCATGACAAAAAGAGGGTATTTCAGCCTCTTTGAGGTCTGATGGACCTTGTGTACTGGGGAATACCTCTTCCTTTGCCAAGCATCCTTAACTGCTATCATGACTATAGCATTTCAATGTCCAGTTGAAGGCTTTTCTCTCAATGATACAGATAATCTCCTAGAAATAACATCAGGATTTTTAATTCTGTAGTTTGCAGTTTCAGTAGGGGCCAAGGAATAAAAGTCTATTTATCTCTATAAATAGACCTTTGTGCCTATGTCTTCTGGTTCTTCAGAAGACATAGGTGAAGGCATATTGGTAAAGCCACAGGAGATATGCATGCCTTACTTGTTTAAAGATTTTTTTTTCCCCAGGGATAATAGTCTGGCACATTTTGCAAGTACCTCATTCATTACACAGACATCATGGTTCAAAGCTAATGTTAGAGGCATATTATCTATTAACATAATGGTTGAGCATCACCAAGCATATAGTGGAGGTCTTTCAGTCACTTAATGGGAGGGGTAGACACAATTCACTAAATTTTGCTGACTTTACAATTCACACACCCACACCCTGACACTTTGTGCGAAATGTCTTTCAAAAATAACTGAAAGTTACAGGAAAAGTTTAATCCATCATAGAAGGGCAGCTGTCACTGGAATGCAGCAAGCTGAAGAAAAAAATTAAGTCTGTCTTGTTCAGTGCACAATAGTGGAGAGCTGCAGCTTAATGGAAAGTAACTTAGC